TAGTAAAACCCGCCGGTTAGCACGAAAAACCAGGGCGACGTTGCCTTTATTTGTTTTATTTTATTTACTATGATAATTACGCTATTTTGTCAAAAATGCCTTTTAAATTTTTATATCCGCAGCGTACGACTCTGCGGAGAAATTCATTTCGCTCCGCCACTCCGCACGACATCTGTCACGTCATCGCGTGAAAAGTAAATGAATACAAGTTTACGCATATTATATACTGCTACGTTATTGTGGTATATATACGTATAAAAATAACATACCGTGTTTCATGAGCATGTGTATGTTATATAATATTGTACAGGGTGGCTCAGAACGTTTTCCCAACGGTCGCATATCAGTAAATATTATCAGTTGTGAATTAAAATTGCGAAACTGAAATTTTATGAAACGAGTAATTGTGACAACTCAAAAGTATCACAACTGAAAATCTAATGAACGGCATCATATGGTTATGGCTAATGTAAGTTTTGGAAAACGGTATTCGATTTTATTCAAAATGTTTACCTCCACTCTTTGATATGTAACTGATAAAAATCTTCACAAAGACTTAAAACTATCATCCATTAACGGTTTAATGAACAATTTTTATCACACCGAATTAAATTAAAAACTATACTTTCGATCTATTCAAACACTATTATTATGTGCCATATACATACGAAGAAGACTAAAAAGGCAATGGGCCAGAAGTTTGCTTAATGCATAAGACCAAAAATAAAAACAACTCATAGGTAACAAGTAATCAAAAACGAAAATAGTATTATCAGGTAGTGCTGTTGATGTGAACCTTCGTATTATGTTTGAAAATATTTTTTGTATTCAACTTTACCCCCCAGACATACTTATTGCGTCGCAAATTGTAAATATACTTCTTATACTTCTTATACAAAAAATAAGATATGCGTACACGGTTAGGAATAAAGAATAATGAATTGAATTAGCATAAATTACATAATTCTTATTTCTTTTTAGTCTCGCTATGATGGGCTTAATTTACACATCAAGCAATGTTGTGCCACCGAAATAGATGCCAATATACCTGATATAGCTTCTGTTGTTGAACGTTTTGTCTAGTTCGTTTATGATTTATTACTATAGCCATTATACCTAACCACCGTATACGCTTTATTTATTTTCGAAACATACGTTAACTATAATTTTATTTGAGATTTCCATAACACCTTGTTTCGTGAATTGGCTGGTTTGTAATTTAATGGAAATGAGAAAATCAAGAGTTATTTTTGAAAACCGATGAAGAGTTGAAAATACGAATTTGATATAATATTTTTTTATTATAAATACCGAAACAAAAAACAATAAAAAAAAAATAATGAAAAAAAAAATAATTTTCAAGGAGATATTTCCATCGGGGTTACACGCTGGACCACCCTGTATAAAACGGCCAAGGGGAAAAGAACAATTTGGTCGTATATACGCGTACGTGTGTGCTAGTTCGTGTACGTGCCGCACGTAGTTTACCGTGTTAAATAAACACAACATTTACTTATCCCGTTCCGTGGACGTATAATAGCAAAAATTATATTAGTTGTACTATATTATGCATAACAACAACGAAAAAATGAAAAAAATTGTGTGTCAACATTAATATTTCAGGTGCTCCGGACACAATAATCCATCGTAATGAAGAATCTGCTTGATCTAGTGGGTTTTCGTGCACGGTAAAAATACATCTACGTGTTTATTTTTTATATCTACGAATTACAAAAGTCGGAAGAACAATAACCTAAAATATTTTTCGGTACATCAAACTAGAATGGAAACGTCAAATAATTTAACCCGAGTATTAGAATACACGAACGAGTGCCGAAAACGATACCACGAGTACGACTCTGGCTTGTGCGTAAA